AAGATTCTGCACCTCTGGAATGTACTCACATATCATGATATACTGAATGTATAAATGTAACAATAAAAAAATATTCCTTCTGACACCTTCCAGTGATAATCATTAAATATTTTAGATATTCATCTATATCTAAAATATGGATCGTATGAACTAATCATTCTATTCTATCTTGACAGAATTACATATAAATGATTTTCTTATCATTCGAGTGTCTGACATTCATCTATTGCTGTGGATGATACTATGATTCCTTTGTATAGGTCAGATTTATTTGTAACATCGAGAAAGACAAGTTAGATGAGATATTTCCTGAATTATCCTTATTGTTTTTAAATCATTAGTAAATATAAGTTCAAAGTCCTATAATTGATTATTTTCATTTAGAAAAATGCAATCTAATGACAATCGAATTATCTAAATATAAAGATCGAGATGCATTACAAATGAATGAACTTGCTGAATTACGTCAATCATCTTCATTACTTGAACGCGTACATATTCTTTTGTATTTTATTTTCTTTCATTTCTAATTATTCCTCTATTTCAATAGGAAAAATTAAATCTTCAAGTTGATATTGATTCTTTACGTGCTAAATTATCTGGAGAAGAAATAGCACATAAAAAATATCAAGAACAAATCCTTGCTGAAAAACTTAAACGTACTGGAAATGATGAAGACATAAATCACAGTAGTCAAGAAATTATTAAAGGTATTTATTTTCGATTTATTATTTTCTTCAATAAAATTTTTCTTTTTTAAGATCTTGAAAAACAATTGGATAGTGAACGTTTAGCATTAAAAAAATCAAATGATGAATTTATGCAAGCACAGAAAAAAATTCGTCTACTTGAAATTGATTTAAAAGAAATGAAAACACATTATGATCAATTAATTTATGATCATCAATTATTTAAACAATCTAATGAACAAATTCTTGAACAAATACAAACTGATAATCAACGTCGAACACAATATGATAAAGATTTTAAACAATTACAACAACAGTTAAATGATTCATTAAATAGAGAAAAACATTTAGAAAATGAATTAAATCATTTGCAAAAGGAAAATCGAAATTTAATTGAAGAATTACATCATATTAATAAAGAATGTGAAACAATTAAAACAAAGATTCTTGATTATGAAGATCAAGTTGAAAGTAAAGATCCATTATTGTTTTTTCTTTCAATAAGTATTTATCTCGTCTTTACTTTCAGTTGAAAATAAAGTTACAACACTTTATCGTTCACAGATGAAAGAATTAAATGATGAAATAACAGAATTAACTCAAAAATCACGACAAGTTAATACTGAACAACAAAATCTTGTAGACGAAAAGTAAACGAAATAATTTTACTAATTTTTTGTAAATATCGCTTTTTACAGGGATAATCTTCTCAAACAACTTGATATGACAAATATGCGATTAAGAACTGAAAGTACAAATTTAAATTCATTACAAGAACAATGTACTGAATATGAAAAAGAAAAAAAATTTATGCTTATCGAATTGGATGCTATACGAAAAGATTTTAGTACTCGACTTAATTTACTTGATTCGGAAATTAATACGGTGAGTTATTTCATATTAATCAAAATGATTTGATAAATTTACTAAGAGAAAATGTTTTTT